GAGGGGGAAGCATAATAAAATGGCTCTTAAACTATAGAATGGGCATAATCTCTCTTTATGAACTCAATTCAAATATTCTGTTTGCCTGGTAAAGTTGCATGAAGAACAGAGGCACTCGGACGTAATGAGGTAAGAGACAATGAACTATTGAAGCATATCACGGCCGTGTCCGTAAATCATTTGCATATATTGTGAACACAAAAAGACGATCAGTGTAGCATCTGCTGAGTTGGGGAAGGGAGGTCTGGGTAATCCACTGGAAGGATATGTAGCTTTCAGAGCAATATGACATTTCCATTATGTTCCCTATTCAAGCAAAGCAGGAAGAGGTCTGGACATCCACATGCTATGTCTGTTTTTACTAGAGCCGTGATCAGCGTGTAATCGGATGGGCCTGGAAAAGAACACTCAATAATGTCGTCTTCTGGTTGCGATCTTCTTATATGATTAAGGATGTTCCATTATGCTGTGCTGTGGATTGTTGTATTCCAGGAGCTAGGCGGGATTAGATGTTGTAATCCGGACTCTCTAAACAGTCTGCGCGTATATTTTTTCCACTAAGCTTCGTATTTCTTTCAAAAAGCACCAGTTTCTTTTCCTCCCATGCTGTTCTTGCTCTACTGCCACCCCCCTTCCCCCAAGCGCTGTTCTTTTGCCTGTCCTGTTCCGTGATTTGACCAAGTACAACATGTTCCTGGATCAACTTCCTTGTTGATCCTGGAACATCATTCCAATCAGAATTGAGCAATAACTTGTCAGGAAATGTCAGTTTTAGGCTTACAATCAGGGTTAGGTGCTCCTACACCCTTGTTAATCAGCTATCATTTCCCTCTGATTTTAGGAATAAATTATGGGTAAGGTTAGGTTTAGGGGTGGGGACTGGGTTAAGTCTGTATTTTTGGACTGTTATGTTGATCCAGGATCAACAAAAATTTTGATCCAGGAACATGTCTGTCTTGGCAAAATCAGGGCGACCAATCATTGTAGTAGAAGTAGTTGTTGTTATTTAATTAGGTATTTAACTTGGTTTTATTTATATATTTTTGAACATCATATTCATAGAACCAGGTTTGGCTAATGTTGTCTCTCGCTCTGCCAGTTTGGATGGATCTGTTGATAACAGATCCGCAGCTCTGCCTGCTCAGCAGGGGGAGGATGGCAATGCCTAGCCATGTTGAGAATTTCAGTCTTTTGAAATTAGACAAATATCTCAATAATTATTCATGTTGACAAATATTGTGATGCGCTGTAGCAAGATACACTAGTTTAATTACAGGAGAAACAAATAATAAATAGTGTATCTCACAAGTCAAAAGTCAGTTTTTTTAACGAGATTTGAAAATGTCTCGTACAATTTCCAAAATCATGCCTGAGGTTAAAAATGTATCTTTCAAGCACTTAGTCAGGTGAGATTTTGCAGGAAAAGTGCAGGTTTTTGATCGAATATAATAGTTGTTTCATCTCTGTGTCAATACACATAGTAGTACAAATTTGCTTTGTCTTTAAAATTTGTAATTGTAAAATTACTTAAATTAAAAATGTTAAGAATCATCATTACACAAACAAAAATAAAATTATAATATAGCTTTATAATTATATAGCCTTAATGGTATTAAATTATGCTTCTTAGCTTAAGGTTATTGTTATTGTATTGAGGTTATTGTAGTTTCGAATTTTTTTCATTTTTTTTCTCTCGTTGTCATCTATTCAATTATCTTTAGTTTTCTTTCTATCATTGTCAGTTTAGTTTGACTTCTTTTTCCAAAGTCTTCTAGTTTCACTTTATTTACATTTAGTTTTTGTATTTTAGTGCTGTCAAATTTAAATGCGCCAACTGGTTTAGTATTACTGCTATTTCTAGTAGCATCATTTTTTTTATATAATGTAAAATTGTAAAGATTTCAAGTATTCTAATATACTGTGTGTATTATAAAAAAATTAATTTGTTTATATTTTGGTTAGTTCTGAAGTTTCTGGAGTCTGTTTTGGACTCACTTTAGTAGGTTTTGTATGTCTATTCTTAGCTTTCTTTTTAATGCTCTCAGTTAAGTGACGTGACATGTGACATGTGGCCAAGTATGGTGACCCATACTTGGAATTAGTGCTCTGCATTTAACCCATCCAAAGTGCACACACACAGCAGTGAACACACACACACCCGGAGCAGTGGGCAGCCATTTATGCTGCAGCGCCCGGGGAGCAGTTGGGGGTTCGGTGCCTTGCTCAAGGGCACCTCAGTCGTGGTATTGAAGGTGGGAGTGAGCGCTGTACATTCACTCCCCCCACCTACAATCCCTGCCGGTACAAGACTCGAACCCGCAACCTTTTGGGTTACGAGTCCGACTCTCTAACCATTAGGCCACGACTTCCCCAGTTGTGGCTGTTGTTGCAACAAGGGTGGAATAATAGTAATTCGTATATTCAGTTTCTATGGGAAAGGCGCTAGTTCCACTGAGAGCATATTTAAGTCACATGCTGTGTTTATCAGACATTTATCGTCAACTTTGTGTGTTCATTTAGCAGGAGCTGGTGTGCTGACAGCAGACCATCCTGTTGAGATGCCCAGTGTTGCTGTGACTGTTCCAGCCATGCAAGACACAACCCTGCCATCAGTCAAAGAAAACAAATCTGCAAAGAAAAGTAGCTCCACTAGTTCACTGCCTCAGAAAGCAGGCGAGGAATCAGACAGTGATTTTGAGTCCGACCCGCCCTCTCCCAAAAGCAGTGAAGACGAAGAGGCGGAAGAGGAGGAAGGTCTCAACAGTGAACACGAAGACACCGAACCTGAGAACCTGGGTCAGAGGCCGTTACTCATGGACTCTGAGGAAGAGATAGAGGAAGAGGAGGACAAGCACAGCTCAGACTCCGATTGTGACTCTAGGAAAGCAAAACTTGGGCTGTCGAATGATAAAGCTGCGGTTTTTCCTCCGAGAACTGTGAAAGCTGAATCTGGAGCCAGTGTGATCACTCCTCCCAATTCGCCAAGCGTCGCCATGCCTGTCGCGAGCATTGTGGATGTGTTTGGTGCTGTTCCTTTTGTTGGCAGTGGTCAGCCCAGAGTGTCACCAGAGAGCTCAGATATTTTCGTCAAAGCCCCTTTTAGGCAGGCTAGCCAGAAGAACGCTGCGGAAGAGACTGATGTATTCACCAAAGCTCCTTTCAACAGAAACATCTCCAGGTCCAGCTGGAGTGACGATGGACCCAGCGGCCAGACGCCATCCATTTCTCCTGACAGCGTGGATGTATTCGGATTCTCGCCTTTCCAACCTGGCCACGTAATACCCACTTCTAGGAATCAAGAGGACGTTTTTGGCCAAGCACCTTTGGACGAAGCAGCCAGTCCCCAGCAACAGAGGCAGAAGCAGCGCAGTCTTCAGAAACTCTCCTTGCGGCAAAGGCGCACCAAGCAGGAGGCCAGTGGAGGCAATGGGAAGCGACACCACAGCACGCCCACCGGCGGCAGGAAGAGCAACAAACCCAGTTTCCGTACCCCTGAACGGGTGCGAAGGCACAAGAAAGTGGGCAGACGGGACTCGCAGAGCAGCAACGAGTTCCTCAGCACGTCCGACTCCAAAGAGAACATCAGTATTTCCCTTGGCGAAGTGATGGAAAAAGGAGCTGCTTTACCCCCAGAGGAGGTTTTGTTGGATCCGTTTGGAGCCAAGCCTTTTCATCCACAAGATGGCAGTCGACACGGTCAGCACCAGAGCTTGGGAGACAACAAAAGTGAGATCAATTCGACCAACGGCAGGCCAAGAACCAGCTCCCTACATAGCGTGTTTGACGGGAATAAGATCGATGACTTTGGAGCAGTACCTTTCACAGAACTGGTGGTCCAAAGCGGAGCTCCGCAAACTCCACCAATGGATCTCGACCCTTTCGGAGCCGCACCTTTCCCCTCAAAGCAGTGAATGTCTTGTCTTCCAGCACACACACATACACTGCTACATTATGCAAAGTCCAAGCAGCCTTTTGAAATGTCTTTAACGGATGGCAGCTTTGTGCTGTGATCTCTGTGTATGTGCAGCCCATTGGGACGTAGGCCTTTAAACTAGATAACATTCAACTTTTGTAGTTTTTAATACCTAACTGGACAGCTAAAACACCTCTTTTCCTTTTGGTGACTTAAACCTGTGGTTGGTGGATGCTTTCAAATAGGCTTTTGAAGCATATTCTTTACACGCTAGAAAGCCTTCTATGCTGCATTTCAATAAGCGCTCTGCTCAGTAAAAACAACAACAACAAAAACAGTGGAGATGTGTGTATAATCCTTTGTTTTAATAGGATTCAGAGAAAAATACCAATGTAGAACAGCATTTTGATTAAGTTTGTACTCCATTGTTGACCACTGAGTTGGTACAACTCCTATCTACCAACATGAAACACCATAAAGCCTTATCTGGGTATTCCCCACCCTGCTTAACAGTACCTCGACTACACATTGGCTGTAGTAGCACGTTTGTGTCAATGGAATCATCCGAGTGTAGGCCTTCTCCATTTTAATGTCATTCACATAGACGATTTTATGCATATTTTTACATTTTGTAAGAACGTTACAATGTCTATATAAATGAAAAGGGTCTTAACGTCCCCTTTAGTAAACTGACCACACAAGAGAAGTTAAACTTGCAGTTTATTAGACAATGTTGTAACACATAGAAATAGTTCTCCAACCTGAACTTAACTTATTTGATATCAAATGATTAGGTGTTCCACTACGTCTGTAACCTACAATCATGAACAATTAGCTCGTGTGGAAAGGGAAAAGAATTCAAGAATGAGCTCATTGCAATTTTGCCTATTTATATACCAGTCACTTGTTTGAAGCAAATTTTAAAATTCAATTTTAGTCATGAAGAGTATCACAATTTTACTGATAAAAGGGCCATTTAGAAGATACACTCACTGAGTATCTGCTGTTGGAACATTCAAGACCAAAAAAGCTTTTTTTCAAACATTGCAAGATTTTTTTTTTTCTTATGTAATACTACACTCTAACAATGCAATAAAATATTTTTTGGAGATCATGAGTCCGTTTTTTTTTTTTGTCAGTCATATCTTTTATTAAAAGAACTGTCATTAAAACTGCAGTTGAAAAGGACAAAGTGAATGTTTAATCAGGTGTACCGAAGAACGCATATCCCAACATATTACCAACCATACCATATGTGGTAAAAATAAATAAAAATAAGTGTTACATAATGAAGCATCATGATTCAGTAACAGCACATCACCCTACCATTAAGCACTAAAAACACATTGTACTATGTTTAAAAAAAATGCAACTGTACAGCTCTACAGTTCGCTATTGTAAGGCAGAAAATGAACTGAAATATGTAGCGTTCACATTAGTGATAAATTTGTGACTTGATATCTTAGATTACAAATGGATGAAATGCAATATACAGAGTAGTGTAAAATGCATTCATTGTATGGAAGGATTTTTAAATTGCCATTGTAACGGAGTAAACAGACTAAGTAAAAGCAAATGGTAAACAACGAGTCATCGCTCTACATCAATATAAATAATACTGATGTGTGTATTACAATATGGAGTAACTAAAAATATATTTTCCACTTATGTAAAACATTTGATTATTTCACCAATCACTGAACAAGCCCTATCAAATCTCTCTGGTTTATTAAATGTTTTAAATAAGACTATATGACTTAAGTCTCATTTAAACTATTATATCATGTACATTTATTTCAAAAGTCATGTTCACACAAACCCAACATAAATCATAAGTGTGGTACTATTAAGCTTGTGAATCGTTGAATTTTAGGCGCAAATACAAAAAGTACACATCAAAATAGTATTGAACTCACAATACTATACTGAATGTTTAACTATTATCATGTAACAGACGTTTTGCCCACATAACCTGCATGTTACCCAAGAAGTACATTTGTATAGATGTAGAAACCCCCACATGCAGACGCTGTGAAATGGTGCTTAACCTTGATTTTTAAAAGTGCTTTTAAAAGCCTAACACTGCTTACCTCAAGTGCCTTTAAATTATAATTATACTGAAACATCTAGGCACTTTTACAAAATGTATAAAAAGTGTCAAAATCGATAGACAATTAAAAAAAAAAAAATCCATACACCTTGCAATCATATTTTATAAACACAGAATGTGTTCAAGCTTTCAGATCAATTAAAATGCTATACAACAGTCCTCAGTGGTGTCCCTCGATCCCGTAACTCTAGGAATGAAGAAGGTAGTCGGAGCAAGGGTGAGCGTGTCGATAGTTGGTTATGAAAAGTGCAGACTGATGCCACCAGTAGAACATGAGCACCACCAATATGTGCCACACCTGATGGCTGGAGCCCAAATAGTTCAGCTGACCTAGAGATTACAAAAAGAGCATTAAAGCGTTAATTAACTTGGTCATCGCACACAGCAGTGCGAGTCAATTCAAATTAAGGCAGGTGTGGCCCTTGGTTTAGTCCAAAAAACCTCTCTGGACAGTATCAAATTCGACATCAGTGAAATGCAACCCTGCTTTCATGTCAGGATGCCACGCTGAGCTCCAATTGTGAAATAAAAATGAAAGAGTAAGAAATATAAAAATTTAAAGTACCTGGAAAATAACGCTCTGGAACTTTGGACATGTAGAAGATGATAGCAGCTACAGCAAGTACATACATTATCAGCACTCTGGGAACAAATTCCTACCAAAAAAAAAAAAATAATTAAATCAATGTTACATGTACTGAACACACAATGTGTGTATATATATATATACACTGACTACTACTTCTACTGTTATTATTATTAAGATTATTGAGGTTGAAAAATGGGTAAAAGTCTGGTAAATATTTTTCCCATATATATGGAAAAAAGTCTGGCAATACTAATTTCTGTAGTTGATGTTATTTATGAATATCTATTAAAGAATTGTGAGGATGCCTCTTACCTGGACTATGTCTGAGCTGAAACCCCCACTGAGCCAGATCCAATGAAAGGTGGGGATGAGGCCATATCCCGCCACAGCACAGAATATAACAGAGCGAAGCTTCTGCCACTTATTGGTCAAGTAATGAGGGTGTATCTGGGCGAAGAACACTGCCAGTATCATGGCCAGAACGGTTACCAGGTACACCTGCCGCCAGTACTGCAGACAGTTACACAAACCAGACAAAAACTACATGAACCACAAACACATGGAAGTCCTCTTAATGTGCACAACACAGACACAAAAAAATCACTTGTTCGGCTGGAAAAAGAATCTGGTGCAAGAAAAAGCGGTCTCTCTTTCTCTTGGGGCACTTGGTTGATTGAGTAGTCATCCAAAAAGCAAAGCTAAACACTTGGCAGGGGGAGAGTGGAGATGGCTCACCCACGTGTGAATGTCATATGGTGGGGAACAGGAGTGACGGAGTGGGTCCACGAACACGGCCATCTGCTTTGGGCTGGAGCAGATTTCTGCTGCATTCTGGGGCACAATAAGCCAGCACTTCCAATATGTGGGGAGAACCATGTGGAGCAGCGTGGCCAAAAGCGCTGGTGCTCGGCAAACAGCAAGTGGGAGTAGAGGGGACGAGAGCAAGCAGCTTGCTCAGGATATCCAAGATCCAAGCTTTCAGAAAACTGCACCAGAATCTTGAAACAAAGAAGATTCCATGCCAAGTGGCACCTCGTCGTTTTTATACAGGCAGTACAAAGCCGCTCCACAGGGGGTCCATTGTGCAAACTAACAGGAAAGGAGGAATAAACTATCGTACAACATAATCAAAGATACTCTAGCACAGTGTTACAGTAATCTCATGGGAAATGTCAGGAACTTTCCTATTAAACGTTCATACTATTCCTCGCTTTTTAAGCGACAGTTCACCCAAAAATGAAATTCCTTTTTATTTACTCACCCATGTCATTTTAAACTTTCTTCTGTGAAACACAAAAGTAGGTATTTTGAAAAATGTTTATGTCCATACTAGGGCTGTGAATCTTTGGGTAGACAGCGAATCAATTCGATTCACGTTTCATAGGTTTTCGATTCAAGAACGATTTTTGCAAATTCAGAACGATTCAATTCGATTCGATTCACAATTAGATTCGATTAACGATTCGATTCTGCATTCTTTAAGTGCATTCACAGGATTATTTAAATGCTTCCCCTAAATGCTTAGTCAGGGGGCAAATTACACAGCAGCCTTTATGGCTACAGAACCACAGGTTAGAGAGAAAAAAACACTTTTGTCCATTGTTAGATGCTAGTTTAATGATGCTATGGCATGACATGGCATATGTAGAAATTTATGTAAGCCAAGATTTTAAAAAAGAGCTTTAAAAGTATTATGTATAGGCTTAACATTTTGTCACACCAGGGGCGTAGCCATCATTTCAGAAGTGACAGTTATTGTCAGATACAATAATTTTATGTATGTATGTATTATTATATATATATTTTTTTTACAAGGAATTCTTTTCTTATATCTTACTTTGAATTTGCTATAAGAAATCAAATACACTTTTTTCTTCATACATTCGGTTCAACGACATTGTTAAAACACATTTATCATTCAATGGAACTGTGCGTATGCTTTAGACACTTACATTTTTGCTCCGTCCATGCAATAAATGCAGCCTTCGACTGCTCAGGTAATGTCGTCGGTATGACCAAGAGAAATTGAAAAACTACAGAAAAGTAAAACTACTTCACTTTAGCATTACTGGCCACCAGTAGGCTAAGGAGAGATCACACATCAGCTGCGTCAGTGAGACGAATGCAGGCATAAATAGTGGAGCGCGTGAAGGAGAGATGCGAGGGCACGTACAATTGTTAAATAAAGGGATAATTTTCTATAAAATCCTGGTGTTGTGATGTACCCTCTGGCCTCCATTAATTTGATTGAACCTTCTTAAGTTAAAATAGAGGTTTATTACAATACAGTAAAATTATTTTTATTTACTAAACACATATAATCAGTCTCTCCATGTAGTATTCACAGCACACACACACACACACACACACACACACACCAGACTGTTTTCCCCAGGAAAAGGTGAACTCTTGCTCTGTATCTGTTGCACAGGTAACATATGCCCACAACAAAACCAGGCCAACCATCTGCTGCTAGAGACCACTGTGGGACGATACACCTCAAGCCACCTAATTAATCTACCCCTGTCCACATTGGCCATAACCGCCTATAGCACACAATGTAGAGGCTCTCCGTGTCATTCTTGTGGAACCCTATGTGCCCTACTTGGATTGAGCTCTACACATAAACATTTGTTACTTTGCTGATGAAGTTATGGGAAGTTTACCTCCAGTTCTGCCCACATCTCTGCCTCCCCTGAGCCAGAATGGTTTAGTTAATTTCAGTACACTTTGATAGTTCAGAACATTTCCTAAATGGAAATTTGTCTTGACTTATGGTGCAAACATACACAATGACCAGTCAGTTCCATTCCACAATAAATACACAATGACTTTTCCAATCAGTACACAGACATTAGTAATAATCAGCACAAACATCACACAAAAGTATGGATGCTTATGTTCAGATATAAAATGTAATTCTGAGAAAGAAAGTGCGAATTGTAAAAAAACCTCAATTGTGAGGAAAAAAAAGTCAGAATTGCGAGTTTAAAGGAATGGTTCACCCAAAAAAGAAAAAATTGTCATTTATTCACTCTCATGTCATTCCAAACCTGTATAAGTTTCTTTCTTATGGTGAACACAAAAGAAGATATTTGGAAGAATTTTGAAGAACCAAACAGTTGTTGGTCCCCATTGACTTCCATAGTAGGGAAAGAAATACTATGGAAGTCAATAGGGAACAGAAACTCTTTGATTACCAGCATTCTTCAAAATATCTTCTTTTATGTTCAACGTAAGAAGGAAACTCACATAGATTTGGAACAACATGAGAGTAAATGATGACAAAAAAAATGACATTTTTGGGTGAACTATCCCTTTAATAGTCACAATTACCTTTTTATATTTTTATTTCATTGGTGGAAATAAGCTTCCATGCATAAGTTATAAAAAAAATTGTAAAAATAAGAAATTTGACAGGAGCAGCACCCTCCCTAATATAGCAGATGCACGTACGTTATTGCAGTAGAACGCATAGAACACTCCTGGAATGTAACAGCCTATGATTCCTATGGAGATCCCAGCATAATCCAGTGCCATCCAGCGGCGGCTGTTTTTTTCAGAACGGTGGCAGCAAAACAGGTGATAGCCCACAGAACACAGCATGCACACCTGAGAAGACAACGTAAAGTGTTGAGACACAGACGCGCGTGTAGGCCATATATGCAGATTCACATATGCAAAGTTTTCACAATACAATAAAAAAAAGCTGAAAGTCATATGATGAACCTATGCAGCCAAACAAAGATGCTATAATTATGTCTTTATGAGGGAATATGCAAGGGTGGTGGTAGAGGCACTTTGCCTAATCCTGATACTTGAGAGAATGGCTGCCAAGGAGAGAAGCTGCCATTTCTGTCTATAACCGATGGCACGAGAGCAACTGATAACAGATCTAGAATTAGACGGGCCTGAGTTAAGGTGATAAAATCATAAGTTTCAACTCTAATCCCTGGCAACAGTGAATGTGGAAAGCCTGATATCAAAGGCCTTCAACAGTCCAAGGATGATACAAATACTTTTTGCTGATCAAAGATCAGTTTTTATTAAAAAGGATGGAGCTGATCCAAACAAGCAACCATGGTTAGAGATTATTTGCTTGTCATGCCAAAAAACTAAACAAAAAACAAAACTCTTTATATTAGGGATGTAACAATTACCGGTTTGACGATAAATCATGATAAAATACCCCACGGTTAGTATTACCGTTTCATATTTTAATTATCAATATAACCGTATTCGTTTACCGCGATTTGAACAACTGAGGATAAATAAATACTGTCCAGCACAGGTCTCCAGAGTGCAGCCAAATGGTCGCATTTTGCAATAATTTTTTTTCTGCCGGTGCGACTAAATTTTGTGAGTGGTCGCACTGGCGCGACCACTGCGTTGTTTAACTCATAAACGCTGACATTTCTGTTGCATATGTGAAACAGCAAACAAAACTGAAAGCATAACGAAACCGCGCTACTTGTTTGAACTGCGTAGCGCTTCGAGTGTAGAGCCTGGTTTATACTCGCCGCGTCAGCACCAGCGCGCAGCAAAAATGACGCGAATATTGAGGAAACAATAGATGGTTTTCATGCTAAAGCAGTGCTGGCCCTACCTAATAAGCGATATACAGTGGGTACGGAAAGTATTCAGAGGTGCTGTGTGTACATTAATGAGGAAAAAAAATTAACTTAAATGATTTTAGCAAATGGCTGCAATATAACAAAGAGTGAAAAATTTAAGGGGGTCTGAATACTTTCCGTACCCACTGTATGCGACTGCATAGGGCCCCCATGGCCACCAGGGGGCCCCGTGTCAGGAGTTCAGACAGCAATCACGGGAGTAAGGCGAGATGATGGTGGAGATGGCAACAGCAGAGCTGAGCTGGAGCGTTCTCTGAAGCTGAACTTCCATAGGAATTAATTAAAAATGTTAGTGGATACGCACTGTAAGTGTCTGACAAATCTTGTAGAATGCAATGCACGCTCAGCACCTCCGGTCCCGATCGCGAAATCGAAACTAAAAAGGATGCATGCGCGCATTCAAACGCAATTTCTATACCAGCAGTTTGAGAGCGGCTGCGGCTCCCTGATGCATGCAAATGAGGCTGTATACAATATCTAGGCTGTAATTAGTATGTACACTATAATAGGATGTGTAGTTATAACCATCCCTTAGCTCTTTAACATGCTTGAAGAAAATTTGGGTTTCTGTTTTTGCGCTTTGATTTCAATATTGAGAGATATAGCCTACTTTGATTATGGTTGCACTTAATAAGACTAAGAAAGAACTGTTCTTTTTTTTTCTATGATCAATTTGTGGAAAAAAGTTCAGATAGGAGGTCAAACATTCTAAAAACTCATAGCCTGCAAGTACAATTCTATAGGTCTGAAGAGACTCATGAAATCATACAGAAGAGAAGTCAGTCAGTTGAGTTTGTGGCAAAATCTTTTACAGTGCTTGAGTATTCTCTGTTATTGCATATAATAATTCATACTCAGAAAGCAGAACTGAGATGGCATTTATTGCAAGATTAGTTAAAACATTTCAATGCACCTGCAGACTATTTTTCCAGGCATGTTTTTCATCATTGAAGATTTCTTAAAATAGTGTAAAAATCTTGTCTAGTCTCATTCTTGCGAACCCTATCTCGTGTCTCGTCTCAGATTTTTGCCTTTACTTTAATGTTGCTTAAATCTGTTTCAACGTGTTTACACTTATATTTGATTATTTTTGCATTTTAATCTGGACTGTCATGCCAGCCCAGAAAATTAATTATTCTTCTATTATTATTATTATTATTATTATACTGTTCTCTAATGCAATTTTCATAACCAGGTGTTTTTGCTTTAAGCATTAACCTCACTGAAGTTTGATACATTTCTCTTAAGCAATCGTTAAAACTCTTTCATTTTTAAATTTTAAACTCTTTAGTTTTAAAAGTTTGCTTAAATGGGTTGTTGACATGACATTGCATTTTCAGTGTCACACAATATAAAAAATCTGTGTCAAGGATGTACAATAAATTACAACTTTTATAAATTAAAAAAACAATTACCTCAGGCATAATTTTACAAGTGTCTATTTTAGTAATTGGCAATCATTTTTTCATCCATATATTTCTAAAAGCATATGAACTTGATACATTATGTCACTGAAAACTATGTCCTCCGGTGTGACACCATATCCTGTTTTTAAACTCCACGGACAACTTTAATTAGTTGAAGGACAAAGAATAGTGTTTTACAAAAAACGCTTTTTACTGGATATTTGTCAACTACCCAAATATATTTTCCTATCTATATCTTGAAAGATAAATATATTGAGTAAAACAAATTGGTAAATCTTTACAATTAGGTGTCAGTGTAGGATGTGTACATTGGGATGGGATGCGGGTGGTTAGGTGAAACTGTATGGGAGTATGGGGGCCCCTTTTGAAAATCTGCTTAGGGCCCCCAAAACGCTAGGGCCGGCCCTGTGCTAAAGTAAAGTAAAAGACCGCTTCTTAAACCAAAGGTGAACATGTTGGTATTCTAGTGGGAAAAAAGAAAAACATGCAAGCACTGTCACCGACAGCAAGTTTAGTTTTACTTTTCTTTTTGTTTTCATTTTGAAAAGCTTGTTATCTTTGCTGTTTACCTCACGTTACACTATGGAGGCTCTCTTTTTTATTTATTTGATTCCTCATTGTTTGCTAAACGTTCTGTAATTTATTAAGTCGCATGTGGCATGTGGTGTATATGCCATGCCTCATCTTATTCGTTTTTGTTAATAAACGTTTTGTAAGCTAGTTTGTCCTTGTATCTTACTGTTTTATTGTTGTTGTGCTTTTAATTAAGAATAACAATGAATCCATCTTTTGTTTTAGTCTGAGAAAGGTGTGTAGATGTAAGCAAAACAGGCAATTATAATTTCTTGTAAAACGTGACAACAAGATCGCGAATTCGAAAGTGAAAGCACCTGAAGCCCAGCTAATAACATAGCAAAAGAGGAACTCCCGTTCACAAAATTTAAATCACAAATAATACTGATGAAAAAGAACGGGTTGAATGTTAACCACTTTTGTTTTCATATAATTATAAACTATGATAAAAGTTAATCAGCATGCATTAATTAATCCCAAAAAATAAAAAAAATAAAAAATTGTTACCAAATCATGTACTCGTGTGACCAACTGAGAAAGTTAGTCACAAAAGAGCGACCAGTGGGAAGAATGAGTCTGGAGCCCTGCAGCACAAAACAGTCTCGCGTGCGCACAGCAGCAGAGTGATTTAGTTTTGTGCGAAAACATGGAGGAAAAGCTGGGAGGTTTTAAAGAGTGCTAAGGGAATTATACAAATGAATATATGGATGAATTAATTACGTGAATTAGTGTTGTCAAAAGAACCTGTGTTTCGGTACTAAGTCGGTACTAAAAAAATGAAAACGTTACGGTACGAAAATATGGCGGAAAGCTGTGAGGTTTTAAACGAGTGCTAAGAGTATTATACAAATGAATATATGAATGAATTAATTACTGTATATGAATGTACCTCTGAAGATTCTGACTGTCTTCAGAAAAGATTTGATGGCATTTTGTTTTCGTCTTCGCTCCATGTAATACCTAATAAAGTATTGTTTTAATCGCAAAGCTGTTTTGTCCTCGGAGGTTATGGGAAACGGCTCTAATTCTACTGTTCCAAAAGCGCCACCTAGTGTCAGAGAGTGGATTTATGGAGAGTTACATTTACATTCAGCCTGGGGTGCAGTTTTCGTCTGGGCCAAAAAATGGACTGAATTTGCATGCCCTGCTGTAAATTCATTGGCAATGTTATTGTTTTAGTGATTATGCAAACAAAAACTCACTTTATTTGTTGTTTGTTGATTTGTTTTGATTGTGTGTCAGTTCTTTTTGAACATTTCCAGCACATTTTAACAATACCGTGATAATACTGATAACCGTGATCATTTTGGTCACTATAACCGTGATAAGAAATTTTCATACCGTTACATCCCTACTTTATATTCACTGCTAACTACTGTGTTAACTATTCAAGTTTAAATGGGGGCTATTAAATGCATTTCTGAACTGCTTAAATTTCTCCTCATTTCCAAGTAATTTGAGGGCATGATGCAAGCAGCACACACATACCTGGAAGCAGAAGAGGCCTATGGAGTATATGACATAGTCCTCTCTGGACGCTCCTAACATAGGCAGCACTGCCAACAAGTCATAAACTCCCAGCGTGAAGAACAGGAAGAACCCCAACAGATGACTCCAGATGTTAACCGTCTCATTGGACAGAATGAAAAGGCTACACAACAGGTGAGATTATATTACATTACAATTATATTACATTAATTATACTAAAATATCTGTAAACTATGCATTGAAGGTGGTTACAAGTAAGACCTGAACTTACCTTTTAATGCACAGTCTAGAGGTCAGGTAGGCTCTGTAGCCATCAGTGATATAAGGATTTTCCCGTAGGAATCCCGGCACCTGCTCAAAAGTGTACAGGCGGATTCCTCTGGGCACCAGAACTGGCCAATACTGGTAACTGTCCAATTCAATGTATTGGGCATTCTTCAGCAGCTTCGCTGATGGCATGATGATATTATCACCCAGTCTCACACTCGGAGTCCTACAGGCACACAAAAAGTGACATGGATGTGAAATTTGTATAAAATATCATAGTTTTAGCTGACCTCCTTCTGTTGGGACATAAAAGTAATGTTTTATTTTGAAGTATTGAGCTATATAATCTGAGGGCAGTTTTTTTTTTAATAATGTCATTATATCAGTGTTGTTATTGTTAACTAAAATGATAAAAAATAGTTTTTCATTAATTAAAATAATTTAAATTTCATTAATGTAATAACTAAATATTAACTAAATAAACTAAATAAAATAATTTATAACTAAAATATAATATTAGATAAGATAGATAAATTATACACACACACAAGTGTGTGAGAAAATGTATGAAAAGTTAGAAAGAAAAATAGAAACTCAAAATATTAATAATTACTATATTATATCAATAATTAATATAATAACATATAAATAACACAAAAATAACACTTAATAATATACAAATTAATAAAAAATTATAATGTAAAAAGTAAATGGAATGTTTATAATATCTAACACTACTGGGAAGTAAATGTGGGGTATGTTTTGTCCCGTCTCAAGAAGGGTGCTTGTGTTCATTGCTTAACTGTTAAATCGTTTCAAAAACAAAGTACTAGGGCTGTATAACACAAATGCAAATTTCACACCTTCTTTAGAACGATGTTAATAATATGAAACGAAGCTTTAGGGTGGACTAAAGAAACAGATGTCCCATTCACTGTCCAACAAGTTGTCAAAGCTTATGGTAAAATACATACAGATACACACAACGTACAAACCTGCTGATTATATACAATGATTCATTTAATTAAATGCAATACACTAACTGGCCAAATATTTACCTTTATCGCTAAATTAGCCATCACTGTGCTGTATCTAAAATGGATAAGCAGCTAAATGCTAATCACGTCAATCCATTGGTCTTATTTCAGAAACGGATTAAAGTGTTCGCTTAATCCTGAATTTAAATTTACCATTGATCAGATAAATGTCTGCATCGAAGAATCCGCGTTTGTGTCGGTGAGGCTCATAAGTAATAGTAGTATCCCATGTTCAGACTCGTACTAGCCCGGTGAGGGCAGCAGGAAGTTGTGCTGTGTTACTAGCTGCTAACAGGCTAATAGAGAGATTATTTCATGTCACATGTAACCTGAGGCATTAATCCCTCTGTTTTCTATCCGGTGATTACTTTATCAGTCCTCTTAAATTCTATATTAATATAAATATAAAACATTTAATAATAATTTACATTTTAGTAAAACGTTTTAATAATTCACGTTTGACCTTACAATACAACCTAAAAGGGTTTATTTGTCACCCGTTCACACTCGTTCTCAATTTATTTCCTCCGAAATTATTTCTTCGTTCTGACTGTTTAATCACAGTAAGTGTTTATCCACTGGAAAAGTGTTACCAGGCAGCCACAATAGCACACAGTTTTCATAGCATTCATTTAATCGACTGAACTGAGACCTGTAGGTGGCAGACTGCTGTCATCACGTTTTGAAGAAGACTTTCTCTTTTCATAAACATCTCAGGTGTAATCTTATGTGATACTCCTCTGGGGCTAGAATCACACGTAATCTTCCCTCAGCTATTACACCCAAGATAATTACCTTCTCAAGTGGGAGTGTGTTCTTCATTAGCACTCCTAATTCACCTTTCAGCACTTCACTCTTCAACAGGCTGTCAACAGCATTGCCAAGGCAATTTGCCTGACTGCAGCAAACCAAGCAAGACATCGAAAGAGTGCCATCACATTTCTTGTTCAGGTGTTTTTTAAAATAAAATATTTGTACTAAATTATAACGAGTTTTTTGTTTGTTCCTCAACCCATTTGATATGATGAGCAATCTTTTAATACAGACATGCAGTAACTCATAATAACAGGCCTACTACCTGTCATTGAGAAGACACCAAAACTCCACACACAGCTGGACCTTCTCTGACCTCTTTACTCTCCTTCGTTTTTCCATTTCAATTCGCTCTCTCAACCTCATGTTTCTTGTAGCAAGCCAACCGCCACACACGGTTCTCCACTGGTGCCCATGATATGGCCCCCAACCAAGAGCAGGCATCAAGTCCAATAACAAGGACACAGTCATTGTTAGAAGAGGTTGGCCAAGTGTCTTGCTGAGAAACTATCCAGCAAGTAAAAGACATTGCCACCCTGACAGCGGCCTCGCTAAGGCCCGTCAGTGCTCCCCTGCTCTGGTCGCTTTTATTTATAATCTCCGCCATGAGACATCTGCTGCCGCCGTGCCTCTGTCCTTGCCGTCCACACAGAGGGTGCACATCAATGTTTCCACCGCAACCTGGAACGAAGTCCAGCTCGCAGGCAGGAGACACCACACTTTGCTCCAATAGGATGTGTGTCGTGTCCGATCCCACTCCCTGGAGACTGATTAGCACGATACGGGGGACGGAGGGAGGCTTCACGAGCACTCAGACTGATACTTACACGATCAGAGTGCCTTTGTTTGTTTGGTGTCTGTAGTCTGGTCACAAGACTATTTTGGGGAGCTGACACTTTGAGAGAGCTCTGGAGCCATCTGACGAGGCCTAGTTTGCCGCCAGTTCCTGAACAGTGGGAAGTCAAGCAGGCCACTGCACTGGCCTTGATGCAAAATGGCACAGGCAGTTTTGTGTTTTTTAAGCAAAAAGAAGACCACATGCGGCTTCAAATGCCACCGCTTTTCCTCAGAAGAATAGGTAGACTAAATAATATATTTTTTTACTTCAGATTACCAAAAAGAGGTCCTTATGTCAGATTATGTAAAAAAAAACAAAAAAAAACGTAAGTATACAATATGTATAAATTACTGATATTACATTGCTACATAGAAGGAGCAATTGTTAGCTGAAATATTTCCCTTTTTAAATTTACTTCACTTAAAAAAAAGTAATTTAATCGCAGTAACCCAGTGTAATCAGTTATATTAAACATTTTTTTACTTTATTGTTTACTATGTACTATTGTGGTCACCATTTTGTTCTGCTTAAAGGAAGTTCAAATGAGGCAATGATTGGAGATTTCAGTTTAGTGAAAGTTCCATCTGCATAACAATATTGGGAGGAATTGAGCTTTAATATAAAGGCATCCTCTTTTTTCACTTACAATTATCTCTTCAATAAGATGTACATCTGGCCCCAAGACTATAATTCCCCAGAGGCCAAAAGAAAGGGAAAACAATTTCCACAATAAGCAAGAGATTAGATCAGACAATGCAATTGTTTTTCTGCATTTAGCATTTGCTGGAATAAGATTAATATCCTGTGATATTAATAGCTGTTTGCTGTGTGTCACTTTTGCTGTCAGCATGAAATACTCTAAATCCTCATGGGGAAAATCATAAGTCTGGCTAAAGGACTAGAGCAGACATGCTAAGCTTTTTGGCACGGGGCCCTTATTATTATTATTTAACCTCTCTACAGTAACAAATACACACTTTGTTATAAAACTGATTATTATTACATATTGCCCTTACAAATCCCTATTGATTTTTTTCATGTAAAATTAATATAATATTCTGGGATTCAAAGAGCTGTTGAGGGGGAATTTGTTCACTATAAAGTTCTCTTGTGTGTGTGTGTGTGTGTGTGTGTGTGTGTGTGTTTTGCATTATTATACCATTAGAATTGTAATTTGATAGTCACATGGACCAGGGAGGGTGAAAGAAAAAAGAAAAAAGAAAAAAATATCACATTCAACAATATGATTACCAATAATATTTTTAATAATTTTCACTAAAATTGCTTGACAAATGCTGAATTTATTTTTATAATGTATAATGTACGTTTTTGCTACTGAAAATAGCCTACTAGTATTCAAAGAGAAAAAGTAAAATCTCAAGTGAAAACATTTTTTTCTCCTGTAGATGTCACTCTGTATCTACAGTGGGTACGGAAAGTATTCAGACCCCCTTAAATTTGTTTTTCTGTCAATATGGGGTGCTGTGTGTACATTAATGAGGAAAAAAAATTAACTTAAATGATTTTAGCAAATGGCTGCAATATAACAAAGAGTGAAACATTTAAGGGGGTCTGAATACTTTCCGTACCCACTGTATGTTCTCTCACAAAATACTTTAAAACAGTAATTCGTCCATTAATTTGCTTCAGCGTTCTATAGGTACATTTTGTATTTATAAAATAAATTCATAGAGAATTAATGCAGTTAACCCGAGATAGTAGGTCGATTCATTAAATGCTAATACATCGAAATGGATTTTTGACATTGATAATTTAACACCTTTAAATGTAATAATTTTGTTTAGGCCTAGATCACTTTAATTTGACACCAGTTAGACACAGTTCTGCGAATAAAAGAAACGTAAAACAGCAAACTTAAAAAAATAAAAATAAAAAAAAGTGTCCCGATAGAAATGATCAGTGTCTTGTACTGTCCTGATTGTAGTGATGATTTTGGCAGTAGATCTAAAAATATCCACTAGATGGTACTGTGGTCACTCATTTTATTTCTATCTACCGTTACCGCTCATCTCGGCTATTTAAAATGGCCTAAAATACTTCCTTTACTTTTTAATAGAATGTTTCATACAGTCAAAATCCTGTGGAAACATTATCAAATAGCATGGGGAATCCGAAACTCAATGTATTAATTAGTTTGTAAATGAGATAAAACAAATGTGAATTAAAGACAGCTCAGACGAGCTCAATGCAATGAATGAGTCAATTGTCAAACACATTTGCTGGCATTTAATACTTCTGAATAGAAATACACGTTTCCTATTTGAGAGCGTTGACCCTTATCACAGTAATGTATTTTGTCATTCTGGCCTCCAACACCACAAATTAATTATTGTTTTTTATTTTAGGGGTCAGTTCATCGTACAGATTAGCATTAGCCGGACACCGGCAATCCCACAGTAATGGATTTCTCACATCACGGGGCATGATGGTTCTTCTTTCAATTGTGGACGATAACTCCATCTAGCACAGATGCCAATGAAAATGACAGCCTTCTCCTGAGCGAACGAATTGCGCGGATGTTTTTGATGCATCCCTTGGACGTCGACGGCCGTTGGTGCCACGATTGTGGTAGATTGTCTAGGACCTGCTGCTTTTCCCTGATATGAAGGGGAGAGCAAGAGACAGTACGGTGGAGGGGAGGGAGGGCCGTCTGCCCGCCACAGGACTACCCCACGCCCAGGCTTGTTTGGAGGATTGCACCAATTCAGCAGCGCCAGCGTCTGACCTCAGCGGCAGCGGCGCTCCGAGCTCCGTGAAGACCCAAGGCGATGCAAGGGATTCACCTCAGCCGGGAAGGGGAGGGATGGCTAGGTAGGTGGGGGTGTCTCAAGGTCAGTTAGGGGGGTCTGGGAATTGGGGTGGAAGGAGAGACTAATGAGATTTTCATTCTCTCTTTCTCTCCGGCGCTGGTGGCATCACCTTGCAACCCACTGTCAATCTACCACCTTTCATCAGCTGAGAAGGACAGAGGGGTGTAGGTGGAAAAAAGCGGAGGAAAAATACTGTTTATTTCTTTAACAGGACTGTTAATCTATTTGGACTGGGGTAATAGAACATTTGCCTGGCACCTGCAGAGAGCCGTCAGCGAGAACGCGGGGTTGTGACATTCCCCCTAAATATGCTGAGCTTTCTCTCACCTCTCATCAAACAGTGTGATCTTTATGGACTGTATCATATTGTGCCGTAATGTGCTTTATTGTCCACAGAATAAGCTTTTCTTAAAGGTAATTGGAAACCTGGAAATGGCTGCTATCGGCTGATTTTTAAATACATTATTTCTGAAATGTGGGCTGGGTAATGACCCTGTCGGTGTAAAACGTAAGATTTATCTTGGCAGACAAAATTGATCCATTTCACCTTTGTCTAATGGAAATTTTTTATCAGGGATTATCTGTTTATGTAAATGAGCGTTGCCCTGGAACAGGGAAATAAAAGGAGCTTGAGAGGGCAGTTAATCTAACACTTGACACGTCAATGTGGACATAACGCATACAGAGCTCTCTCTCTCTTTCTCTCTCTCTCTCTCTCTCTCTCTCTCTCTCTCTGTTAGGGTTGAAATGATGGGAGGGCGTTTTTTCCCAGACCTCAACAGATATTTGAATTGGGA